CTGAAGAGGGAGGCCGGGCGATTATCTGATGACGCAATGAGGGTGGAGTAGTAATTAGACCTCACCACCCTCATCGCCACTAGGTAGGATCTAACATGTATCCTTACCTGTGTTCGGTCGGATTCGGTTCGGGTAACCCTCCAACTCCTCTCTAGGCGTCTTTTCCGGCGTTTCATCTCTCTCAGCCCCTCGGTGAACCGAGGGGCCAGTTGAGACCTACGCCGGGTCAGAGGCCGCAGCGGCACGACTCGGTCCAGTGCTGCGGCTGCGGCCACATCCCAGGCCGCAGCCTGGTGTTCCACCGAGTCATGACCTAGCTCCTCAGGATATGGCCCAAGCTCCGTCAGCAACAGTCATAAATATGAACCAGTTGCCAAGCATCTGAATTTTGATCACATGATCATGGGGATGCTGCAAAAGTTGTAAGCTTGAAAAACGGTCATAAGTCATTTTTTTCAGTGCTATTGCAACTTTGAATGGTCACTAAATGAATTGTTCTAAGTCGAGGGCTACCTGTAGATGGCTTTGATTACATGGATTCATGATGAACACTAACAGTTAGATGTCAGTAGACATTTTGCCTTTAAAAATCATTGACAATGTGTGTATTATATGCTATTCTTCAGAGAATAACATTCATTATATGCTTTTACAGGTAACCCACATACCCTTTTCAAAATTTGGACACTACTTTGATTTATCTAAAACAATGGCTCCAGAACTAATCCAAAATGTTAAATGGGATGGTTTTTTCATTCCTGAAGAAGCAGGCTTGGATATTGATGAAAAGTCATGGTGAGTTCACAATTCTTGGGCAGAAAAGAAGGCTAATTATAAAAATATGTTGGCTGGCCAAGAACGCAAATAAAACACTTCAAAGTTTGCCAGTATTTTCACTGTATGTTGACTTCACCTCTTAATTGCAAAAAACCTGGGTTTGAAAAAAAATGCAATCTTGTTAATTTACTGATAGATACTGTTGGATCTCACCCAAATTTTCTCTCTGTGCCCACAAAATGCTAATATAGTTAACTCCCCTAAATAGCCAACTGTAATATTTGGATAGCCTACTTTAAAGGGTTGACTCACTGTTAGACACAAATTAAAAAGGAGGAAAACCCTGTTATAATACACACAGTTTAACTGTTAGAAATACTTTTATGTTAGATTCTTTCATCCAGTATCAGTAGATAAGTATGGTATATGGAAAGGAAGGAAGGAAGAATTATGTGAAAGAAAAGAAGAGCTGATTATAGCAGAGACACTTGTTCCGCGGGAAAGAGAGAGAGTTCTGGTGGAGAATTTGCTTTCCCCAAACTACATCAAATGTTATATTTTTGGTGGGGATGAATGCTGTTGAATTAATGGAATTAGAACTATTGAGATGTGAGGAAAAAACATTCATGGACAACATGACTTACAGTACGATCTGTAAACTATCACCTTATTGGGGATAAGGCATATAAATTTAATTAATTAATAAAGTGTCCTTTGTGTTCTTTTCATCTCAGTGATTTTAGCCATTAAAAAATCAAGTTGCCTCCACTTGATGTTTTAGCTACCTGGTTCTATAACAACAGTTGGAGCCAGAACGATAAAATAACGGCTGTGGAGATCTGCATGTGGAAAAGGAGCTTTTAGTTCAACCCGGTGAATTTCAAACTCCCTCCAGATCCAGAGAGTTCCCACCTTTATGTCTGAAAGGAATAGCACTTCCACAAACATAGCTAATAGACAATGTGTAATCCTTCAGGGTGATAACTTCACTGAAATTTGGCAGAGCTGTGAGAATTGCAGAAATGAGGCTGGGGTAGGCACATGGACTACGGGGTATTTGTCTTCTAAGTCTAGTAGATGTAGATGGGCCTATTCAGGTTTAATAATGACAAGTATTCATTTGGTTTGTTGAAGTAGCTCTCCATGGCTCATTGGTGAACTAAAGTGCTAGAAATGCAGGAACTAAAAACAACTAGAATAGTTGTTTTATATGCTGCCACACTGAGCATGTGTTAACTAACCTGTTTAAAGACATTTATTCCTTATCTCTTATATTTGTAAAATTGAATGTTTGAATGTTTCAGCTAATATAAAAATATATTAAATAAAATATTCTGGTTCTCTCTTTAGTAATAAGGCATGTGCTTACACCAGACTGCTTCATTCTATTCAGAAAGTCATTTGTCAACAAGGATACAGTGGGTCCACTTTTCAGGTATTAAACTTACTTCAGATATTTACAAGCATATAAGATACACATTTTTATAATGTCTGAATGGATGATTCAGCAGCAAATGTGTTTGATTCCAAGCACTGATAACAGTTTCATAATAATTGTTTTTAATGACAACTTATGAGAGGCTTCATTAATGATACTTACATTTTTCATTTATATACTGTATATTTGTGGTTGGGAAAAAAATTCAAATATTTAGTGCATAAACGGTTAATTTTACTATCTCATTCTCTCCAAAGTATGATAATGCAAAACTCTAGCAGTTGAATCTCTGGTCAATTTCTCTTTAAAATTCTGCATTCTTTCTTTGGTTTTATTTATTTATTTTTGTATTTGTCAAGCAGAATTTTCCTGTTTAATTTAGTTTTCAGCTTATACATAGCTTTACGGGTAAACATGTTTTCCCTTTAGAAGTAGCAGTGCCCTTCTGGATAAGTAAATTGGTCCCTGACAGGCATCTCTGCTTTGGTTGCCATAGCAACAGGCATGTCGTAACAGTTCTCCTAGTACAGCATGTTGAGCTGTTCCTCCAACATGATGACAGGTCCTTTGGAAGCAGAAATTCATAGAATATTAGAAGCAACTGCACCAAAGTGACAAGAAAATCCTGACAGCAGATAGCAAATAAAATGTTCCTGGAAAAGAGTTAGCTTTGTTTGCTTTCCCTTGATACTATGAAAGAGATAAAAATTGTATTTAAGTATGGTCTCTCATTATTTTTACTAGATATCATAAGGGGATGAAACCACTTTTAGGTAAGAACAATAGGCCATTGTATGGATTTTTTAAGAAAGAGAAAACAGTATTCATTATATCAAACTTAATAGTGTTTAAGGACAATTAATAACTAAATGATGATATTGTAAAAGAACAGGAAAATACTACAAATAGCAGCAAGACAGCAGAATCAAAATAAAATAAAATAAAATATAGCCAAAGTGCTAACCTATTAAAACAATAAAGTGAGAAGGGGATCACTTATGACTAAAAGCCTTCCTGAAATTTAAAAAGGAAACAGGCTTGGAGCCGTTATGTCGTCATTGTAGTCTCCTCTTAGTTTAAGGACAGCCAAAAAAGTTGTAAAAATGGAAGTCCTCTTAAGCTGTTTCTCTGCTTTACCTTGGACTTGTGGTGAAGTGAGATACCTGAGCATTGTTATTCCATACTTAAGTGGAAGGCAAAATCCAAGCTAATGATTAAGCACTGATTTTTTGAAATTTTATTTACTAAAATAGTGAAATACGAAAGGAAAGTTTCTTTGTCAAATAGTGATTAATCAGTACAGAGAAAAAATATACCAATGATTAAATGAACTAAACATAACCAACCTCATCTCCCCACATTTAATTAGATGTATAAATATTTATATTTCAGTTAATTCAGTTAAGTTTTATCTAAACCATGTATCAATGTACTGTGTCATTTGGATTTTAGAAGAAAAAAAACTTAAAAATAAAAAGTACATTCTTAGCCTGGATCCCTTCCTTAAATTCAGGAGAATGACTTTCTTTCTACTTACATAGAATTATCATCTTTGCCATATCCCAGCCTCAAAGCTTATCATGAGATGAAAAATTCCATGTTTTAGGAATATAATTTGACATTACACCGAAATCCTTAACTACGTTTCTTCCACATGTACTTTCTTGTATTTACTTTAAACCAAAACAGGGCTATAACGGACAAGAGCAATTCACATGAATTAAAGAACTTTCAAATTTCTTGTGACTGGGCATTTTGTCCCATGTAAATAGCCCAGATGAACTCTGTTAAAGCGCACTAGCAGCAATATATTTTCGAGTTTATCCATGCTTGACTGAAGATCAGCTTCAGAAAATGTCATCTCTAGAGAGATTTGTAATGTATTATTTGTTGCTTATTACATTTATACCCCGCCTTTGAGGATACTATAACGGTTCTCCTTTAGCAGTTCACAATCAGTATAAACTATTGAAATAAAACTGAAATATTTCATTTATTAATTTTGTATCATGCCTTTACATGAAGTGTCTTCAATATAGTAATACTGTCAAAAAAGTAAGGTTAAAAACATGATCTGTGTATTCCACATTAAACCTATTTTAGCATTATGAAGAGAAAAATGAAACCTATAGTAGTTAAAATCTGATCAGGAACAAGCTGGTTTCAGACAGTACTTATCCTTTTTAGCAAATGAGTCCTATCCATAGGTATAGGACTCATTTAGTTGGTTGCCTTTTTTAAAAAAAATGTACTTTAGATTACGGAGAGATATTTTTAATTATTAACATTATGTTATACACCATGTGATATTCATTGTAGAAACATCAAAAATGTTTCTTATAGTTTTTTAAAAATATTTTTTGTAGTTCCCTTTTTTCCTTTATCAATTAATCTAGAAAACTAGTATAACTGTTTGGACTATAAATTATATTTAGCTGGTTCAAAGATTTAATTAGTTTTAATTTATTAAATTTTATATGCCATGCACTTCAGGAGTCTTTAGATGGCTTATAAAATCCAAAGACGGTAAATTTAGAACAGTTAAAAGCCACAGAGACAGGCAGCCAAGACAGAAACAAAATAGGTAATTTTTTTTATAGTTGTTCATTTATTTAGAACCTTTATATGGCTGCCTATCTTAAGTAACTCTAAGAATAAAAACTAAAAATAATTGAATGAATGAATGAATGAATGAATGAATGAATGAATGAATGAATGAATGAATAATTTAATTAGAAACTAACAGAGTTGGAAAGGACCTTGGAAGTCTTGTAGTCCACAATTAAATGTTGGATTCATTAACTTCCAGAAGCAATTTTTAGTTCTTTTAACTGAGACGAATCATAAGGTAATCTTCAGTACCATTTTTTTATTATATCAGTGTATTGATAGAATTATTTATAGTCACTTCAAGCACAATTATTCACATTTTTATGAAACAGTAGTGTAATATGTATATTACACCAAACACTTGTAATGTGTATCTGTATCCGAGTCTAAAAACATTCCAACTAGTTTTTTTTCTCAAAACTGTTTTTTTATTTAGATACTTTTGGAATGCTTAAATTGGTCAGCTGAAAAGATACTTGTGAGGTTTTTTTGTTTTGTTTTATTTTGCTTTTAGATTTCTTAACTCAGAAGTTATTTTCTCTTCATTGCATATAAAATAACAAGTTGCCCCAGAGATAGTATTTTCTTCTTGAACTTACAGGTTCCACTAAAATCCCTTTTCTTTTTTCATATTTGATAGAAAAAACAAAGGAATGTGTTGAGAATAGGAATTCAGAGCCTTGGTTCAGTATTATGGGGTGATGATATCTGTTGTACTGAAAATCCAGAAAATCTGCACAGCCTCACCAGATTTATGTATGCTCTACGTGGCCTCCTGAGATCCTCATTATCGGTGTGCATCATCACTGCTCCAACTCATCTGACCCAGGTAGGTTTAATCCAATTACTATAGTCAATCATGTTAGATACATAAAGAGAAGGTCAGTGGATTATTAATAATCAGAACATGCTAGGGGAATATTACTTAATACCCTACTTCAGTGGTTCTCAACCTGTGGTCCATGGACTGCTGAGGGGGGGGGCGATGTCATCATAGGGGGTCCACAAAGGTTTGTTATGATTTAAATATTGAGTTAAATCTTGGGGATCTGTGGCATGGTCCATGGCCACAAAAGGTATTTAAAGGGGGTCCGTGATAAAGAAAAAGCTGAAAACCACTGCCCTACTTTATTGTGGCCATTTTCCTTTGGTAGCAGATAATTTTCAATTTCCTTTTTATTTCGTATAGCCAAATTAAAATGGGATTCTTTGCTAATATTCCCTAGTATTTCATAGTGATTCCTAATGAATTTGATAAAGAGAATTATTAGTGTAATTCCATCCTGCAGTGAAACTTTGTGCTTTCTTCAAATGGCCACTACAGAAAGGAAAGGCATTCTAAGGAATGATATTGGATCAGGTGCATGGGATTGTCCAGGATAAGGAAACAGGGAAAATGGAAGATGGTGCTGAATTTGTGATGTGCTTTTAATAATTTATTCTCTAGGAATTATTGTTTATCAAACAAATGACACAAATGTTTTCCAAAGGGAGCACTAAATATTTGGGAATCTACGAATTCAATGAACAATCAAATTTTATGTTTCCTAACCAGCCCCCTCTGTCAAAAGATGGTATCTTGATTCTGATTTTGTTTTAGGTTTCTGAAACGTTCTCCACTATGTTGGCGAATGGGCTTTGTAATCCCATATGTTGTCTTTCTGTTTCTAGACCTAAGAATAGGAAATAATTGTTTTAATAATTGTGATGCATTTGTTCCATGGACTAAAACTTAAAGAGTTTCTAGGAATAGTTAAATTTCCAGGACCTCCTCTCTGTTAAGACACAACTTAATAGAGTGTTTAAATTGCAGAGCAAGCTGTCATTAGGAGGAGCAAAGCGTCTGAGGTTTTCCTATATTACAGACTACTCAGTTCCCAGAGCCCTGCTGTGTAGTTGTTCCAGTCTCCAAGAAGCCTGTTAAAGAGCCCCCAAGAGCATGTGTCCAGCCCTCCGTGTTAATAGTTAATTGGTGAGGATGGCAAGATGAGAGGACAGCCGAACATGTGGTCTCTCCGTCTCAGGCACTAGTCAGACTTTTTAGTTCTAATAACAGCAGCTGCTCACATTCTCACTACTCAGCTTCTCACAACTCTGTTGCTGGGATTTGTGAGTGGATTAGAAATGTAAAAAGATCTTTGTCTAAAAGACAAACAATTTCCTTTCCCTTCCCTCTTTTATCTATGCTTCTATTTGTATAATACTGTATTGTAAAAGTAATAGATTTATTATTTTGGTAGCCTACCTTTCAGGAAACTTCTTTACAAGTCATGTCAGATAATTAAGATAGAATAAAATCTGCAAATTTAGGATCATAGTATTTTTTAACATTTAACAGTCAAAATATTGCTAGCATATTTCCAAAACAATTTTTAGAAAATAATTTA